ATTACATTAAAACTAGATATGTAAACCAAGAAGGATACAAGAAGAATCTTCTTGTCCTCATAGATATTGGAACAGATAAAAGTCATGTAAATGCTAAATTTGTTAGTCATTTAATAGACTTTGAAATACCAGAACCATATATATTTAAGAATTATTTAGGAAATAATCTTGAAATAAGAAAATATGTTAAGTTACCTCTTATACTTATAGGGGAAGATCAGAAAGAATGTACTAAAGAAATAATTCTATATAAAGATGAATTATATGGAGTAGATCGTTCACCTATTTTACTAGGAATGAACTTTCTTGAGAAATATAATCCTTATAAAATTTGTCAAGGATATTTAAAAATAACAGTTGATGATAACACAATCATCATATCAAGAATAGATGAAAATATGAAATCGTTGTTATCATGAAAAGAGTAATAAGTACTAACCCTATGAATCCATATATTGAAATTACATTTAATATAAAAAGTTATTGTAGAATTAAATTTCATGCTCACTTAGATACAGGAAGTACAATAAATTATGCTTACCAAATGTACTACCATCTGAATACTGGATATACAACTCAAAGATGATAGTCACCGCTACAACAGCAGGTGAAAATAAGGTAATATATAGCAAATATACTACGCAAGTACCTTTTCTAATTTCCTTTAGAGAAGTATTTGTTGATACAATATACATGTCAGCCACAATAGGATGTGATATTTTATTAGGACAAAATTTTCTATTAAAATATACACCATTTACACAATATATTGATAAGTATATGTTCACAACACTTTGTGCACATAAAATATTTACACCAAAAATAAATAAAGCTATTACAATAGCATATACAAATATAAACTATCAGAGTTCCTCAACCCAGCGTGGTGGATATTGGAGTACAGAAAAATTTAAACCAATTACAGTCTTAAAAATGACAACAGAAAATAGATTAGAAAAATTGAAAAAAGAAATTTCTAAAAATCCATTAGAAAAATGGAATACTGATAAAATAAATGCAAAGATAGAATTAACCAATCCAGACACTATTGTTAGAGTAGTGTTGATGACCAAAAAGAATTTAAAGATCAGATAAAAGAATTGCTAAAAGTCAAGTTAATTAGGCCTAGTAAAAGTCCACATAGCAGCCCAACCTTTATGGTTAGAAAACATAGTGAGATAAAAAGAGGAAAAGCCAGAATGGTGATAAATTACAAGAAATTAAACGAAGTTACTAAATTTGATGGATACTACTTGCCAAATAAGGACACCCTTATTAAACAAGTACAAAACAAAAAGATATTTTCAAAATTTGATTGTAAGTCAGGGTTTTGGCAAATCATGCTTACAGAAGAAAGTAAACCACTAACTGCATTTAATACCCCCAATCTTTTAGGACAATACGAATGGAATGTAATGCCATTTGGGTTGAAAAATGCACCACAGATATTCCAAAGGAGAATGGATGAGGTAATCAAACCAATTACTCATTTCTGTATTGTATATGTAGATGATTTACTTATTCATTCTAATAATATTGATGAACATATTGAACATCTTGAGAAATTTTGTTATATTATGAAAATACATAGTATTACACTTTCTCAAAAGAAAGTTGAGATAGCTAGAACAGAGATAGAATTTTTAGGATTATTCATAAAAGAAGGAGAATTGCAATTGCAATCTCATATTGGAGAAAAATTTCAAGAATTTCCTGAAAAAATCAAAGATAAAAAATAATTACAAAGTTTTCTTGGTATATTAAATTATACTGAAGGATTTATTGAAAATTGTGCTAAATTAAAAAATTACTTTCTTCCAAAGTTGAGAAAAAATATTATGTGGTCTTGGGAAGAACAAGATTGTGAAAATATAAGGAAAGTTAAAGAAGAATTAAAAGTATTGCCCAAACTTGTAATACCACAAGAAGAAAATTTCTTTATCCTTGAAACTGATACTTCAGATAATTACTGGGAAGCAGTGTTAAAGGTTAAAAAGAATCGTAAAGAATATAAATGTGAAAAGAATTATTCTTGTCATGAGATACTTGCAGGTTATACATCAGGAACATTCAAAAAAGTTGAAACAAGATATGAAACAAACAGAAAAGAACTCATTGCTGTAAAAAGAGGAGTTCAAAAATATGAGGATTATTTATTACCAAAGAAGTTCTTGATTAGAACTGATAATACTCAAGTTAAAGCATTTTTAAAAAATAATGTTGATCCATCTATTACCAATAGATATATTATTAGAATACAAATTTGGTTTTCATATTTCAAATTTGATATTGAATACATAAAAGGAAAAACTAACTTTCTTCCTGATTATCTTAGCAGAGATGGAGCTAGAACAATTAAGAACGAAAGTCCAAATATTTGAGATAAAAGTTTCCTATTTGGAAACACAAATTTAAAATATCCAAGATAGCTTTCGAGGCAAAAATATAGTTCTTGAGGCAGAAGTTACTTGTACCAAGTCTAGTATCCCTTTGCAGGGACTTGTGAATACTAGCGCTCTCCCCGAGGATAAAAGGAAAGAAAAAAAGGTAATAGAAACCCCTTCACAGGGAAAACTTGAACCTATTACTGGTAATAAAGATATTCAAGATATCAAAAGAGAAGGTAGCTCTTCACAGAGCCAAACTCAATCTAAACTTTCTATTGAAAGGATAGATCCAAAAGATATTATCAAGATATGCCATGAAACAAAAATTTCCAGAAAAGATAACCATGAAGAAGTAACACTCTTTATTGTTATTTTTAATATTTTATCAGATTGATATCTAGAGATTGAAAAGTGGATGAAGACTCTCCACTATTTAAAATACAATAAGATAAATTTTTATTCATGAGCACCAGCCACTGGGTTTGAAATTATTTTGAGATAGGAAATATACTTTGTATATATCCTAGCAAAGATCTCAAAGAGATAGCTCAACTTCCAACCAACATTAGGAAAGCTGTTAAAAGATATACTGAAGTCGTCAAGACAACAAATATATATATATATATCAGATTTCATTCAGCAACCATGGAATGGGATCCCGTTCTTGAATATATACATCCATCGTTCCATGTGATAAAAATGGGACTTACAAATCAACATTTTTTACCAACCAATCAAAAGGTTGTTAAAAATGAAAATCAAGATATTCTAAATATGATGCCCTACAGAAGAGCAAAAGGGTACAAAGAGATATTTGAACATGTAACTCAGATAATCATTGAGAAAGAAAAAATATGGATTTATCCATCTGAAAATCATATTATCTATTCCAATGCAATGATGACTACCAAGGAAGAAGATATTTGTTATCTCGACCATTTATTATCTGCAATTATTTCCAACCAAGTGCATGGATCAGAAGATATGGCTAAAGAACTATACAAATTACTCTGGAATTACAGTGATCACCATTGTGAATACTGTGTAGTTGAAGATATGAGCCAAGCATCTCTTAAAAGTGAAGAATTCCCTGTAGAATTCTTTGATTCAAAAATGGAAAAGTGATGGTGACAAAAGTAGCCCTTTATCGCTACTTTAATAAAGAAATTTATTAAAAAAAACTGTGGCTACTAAAAGACAAAAGATAATACAAGAAAAGTCTCCATAATTGTGACTACCCCCACCAATTGTTACAAGTGGCAGACAAACTCAAAAGATAACGTATCTAATTTCAAAAGAAGAGGTCCACTAACAAGAAGATAAGGGAAAAATTCGGTGGAGATAAGATGACCTAGCTACCCAATAAAGAAAGGTGGAAAACACCTGTCAAGAGAAGATTCCCAAAGGCTTCTATAAAAGGAGGCAAGGACGAAGAAGGAAGATATCTCAAAATAGCTTATCTCTAAAACATTCAGATGAAACACATCTTAGATAGATCTTTTGTAATCTGTATACACCACTTGTATTCAGAAAAATATTAGATAGTTTGACGATAGTAAAGCGTGTAATAATGTAATCACTTATGGAGTTCTAAACTTCATAAGATGAGTACCAAAGGTATGTAAATATAGTTTGTAAGCATGTACAATTTCAGTTTATGAATATCAAAGTAAAGTTTGTTATGTTCAACAAATCTTTCATAAAAGAATTTCGTTAAGTTTCTCATGATTCCTCGACAGTATAGATAGAGATTTTAAAAGATTTTCAAAACTGTGATTTTGAATGGATGTTAGCCATGCCAAAGTACCCGTCTTTGATGAATGGTTTAGGGGAAAAAGGCAATTTTCTAACAAAATTGTAGCACCTTGTGTGTGAGTTATCTTTTAAAATTTCCTTCCAAGTAAGAATTTCATTCTGAAAAGAGTTTGGATAGAGGTGAAAACAGAGACTCTAGATACTGTAAGATAGGGTCTGTGCCAACACGACTAGTTCTCTAGAGTGAGAAATGCAACCTTAATTGAAAAGCTTTTTGCGGAATCAGTTGTGGACCCAAATGATTTCAAAAAATATTTTAAATCTTTACTTGATTCAGAAAATTGATTAAGTACATGCAAAGCATCTATAAGATCATACTGGAGGGAAAGCCTGTTTATTTCCACTTGATTACTGTAAGTTATTTACTTGTTTTTACATGCTCATGTTTTAATTATTCTGATGAACAATTCACATGCATCCACTTCCACTACTAATAATGATAATAATGTCATATTATTTTTAGATGAAAAAGATGTTTCGTTTTTACTTAAATTAGATGAAAAATCTGATGATATATTTCCTATTGGTAAAGAAAAAATTGAAGAAATATATAGAGATAGAGACTATAATTGTAGAAATAATATAGGATTTGATTCTGTAGGAACTAGTAGAGAAATAAGAAAGGTAGAAAATATCATAACCAAACATAAAAATATACAAGAAGAAATTTTAGAAGGATTAGTTCGAGGATATATAACCAAGAAAGATCAACCTATAATCTTTGAAGAACTATCTAGATACAAAGAATATTTAAAGATGTTCGAAAGATTGAAAAATATAGATATAGATCCTGATTAATAAATCCTTAAAGATATAAGATACATCTTACAAATAACTTTAGTAAGGGCAAAATAGTATTTTTGATAAAAGAGGCCATTGTGGAAAAAGGAAACAATTTTCCAGCCTTTCTAAAAATTACCCCGAATCAACGGGACGAAAAAGAAATGGCCATTTTGCAACTTCTCCCAAGAAAAAAAGGCACAACTAAAAAGGAAGACCCGTTTTAACAACATATTTACAACATTTGTTCTGATTTTGGGTACTGAGTTGCATTTTTCTACAGCGTCATAGGAATTACTCCAATGCGCAAATTAACCACAGGACCCAGATGAAAGCAAGAAATCAAATAGTTTTTCGAGTTTGATCCGAATGGAAGTTGGTCCGGGCACCTCAGAGTTACCTTTTCGCTTTTATGAGCAAAAGTAAAACATCTCCCGGAGCATGCTAAAAGTAAATAGTAAGAATTTTTGGAAGTTCTAAGTCTGGAATTTCAGCGCTTGATGGTAAGCTCGGCCCTAAGGTGCAGTATGCCATTAATGAAATAGAGGCTGTCCTCGGCCATGAAAGAAGTCCATGGTATGCTAAACAAGTTGCGATAGCCAACTGCCTTTCCTCCGGTAAAAGTGTAATTGCCTTTATATTTGCTAATATATTCCTCTGTGGGTTTCGATCTGGCTGCAAATTCGTAGTCAACAGCAAACGTTACCGAACCTTTTTCTTGCATTCCAAGAAAGAGACCAAAGCAATGGAAAGAGCTCTGTTGATCCATATTACAATGTGCAGACAAGAAAAACCCTTGTCCACCCAAGTGGAAAGCCTGAGAATAAACTCGTCCAGATGGAAACAAATTCACACACTCTTCCCGCTTAAGATCCAGGTAGACTATGCACTGTTGGCGTGGGAGTTCAAACTCAATTACCTTAACAGGTCGATATTTGTAGGCCCTCTCAACAAAGCAGCGGCTTGTAGTTGTTGCCTCCTCTATGGCCATCATTCGCTGACGATGTGGGGCCTCAGCCTTGAAAAATAGGGCCTCAAGCACAATTTTGGATGCAAAATCATGATCGAAGTCACTGCAAACCAGAACCTTCTTTAGCTTCCGGCAAGCCATGTAAGGGAAGCGAATATGGCGGCCCAAACGTGTAGCAAGAATTTCTTGCCGTTCCTCCAGCTTTTGATAATGAGCCCGGGTCCACTTCAAGGCAAAGTCATATACTGCATCCTCCGATGCCACTTGGAGATCATCGCTAGACAAGATTGCCTCAATTCCAGCCAGAGGCAAATTCATAACCTCGTCTTGGAACCTGCATAAATTAGTACAAGCTATAAATACCTCCACTAGAACTGATCAAAGTTGCTAAATATTGCCCTTGTTTGAGCCCCATTTTTCCACCAAAATATATTCTTCAACAGTGATTTGACAATATCTTAACCACACATTCTTCAATAAAATAATATTATACGCAAATCAAAAACTTTCCTTATTTTCTAACCACACATTTCTCATCAATACACTATTCTAAAATTCATTTTCTCCACAAAAATGGGGCTCAAACAAGGGCATTGTCTTTGTAGTCATCAAAAAATAGATCAAATTATTTTGACCACATGTTACAGATCAAAGAGATACACAAGCGACAAGGTTCAATTTCTTTAAAGACGTAACATCCAATACGAATGGATTTTGCATGAAAAGCTGTTGAGGATTAAGCTTCTACAAGACTAGTCAAAACTAATCCTACCTGTCCTCTGCTGAATAGACAACTAGAATATTTCTCAACAGTACAAGCCAAATCAGAAGAAAGAAAAGTAATTTATAATGTGTACGCACAGAAGGAAGGGGAAAAAATGACCGTGTATCAATTAAAACAACTGTGTCCTGAAGAAAAAAATAAGTAACACAGCACAAAATGAACTACGGAAAAATTATCACTTTCTCATTTTCATGGAAAGAAAACAGAAAGGGAATTGACAGTAACTCACTTGGATATGTCTTTGTAACGGGCAGCCAAGAACTGTTTTGCTGCATCAGTCAATGGCTGAACTGCCTCAGCCATTAGGACGCTAGAGGGAAGGTCCAGATATAATAATGCAGACTCAGGAGTCATAGGCAAGTTTCGCAACATGCGGCTGCAGTGCCTCATGCATGAAGCTACCTCAAATTTATCAGCAGCCATAAGCACATCCAACAACGCCGGAGCTGTTGTTGCAGTTAATGTATTGCTATACATAAAATTCAGTAGCTCCATGAGAGCAGCTTCCTCTATTCAATAAAAAGAAGAAAGATCAACACCGCATAGTCTGACAACTATTAAATATGTCATCGTGAGAGGGTGGATGATCGAAACATGCACAACCACCACAAAGTAGCTCGAAGATATAATCATGCCAAAAGGGGGGACTAATAAGCTACAAAATAAGGAGAAACTATCTTCTTTCCTAAACCCTTCCCTACGATACTTGAGACTCCCAGAAAAAGAAGTCAAGTGAAGCAAGAGAGACGGAAAGGGAGAAGGAATAACCTTAACTTGCTATATAAACATACCCAAGGCGTTAATTCTTAGGGTTACATGTCTCTGCTCTGACTCCATCATCCCATTTGAGAAAAGCTACATAAAGAAAAACGATACATGCATACATGAATTTACAAAAAGAAAATAATATTAGCAAATCTCAGATAAAACTCCAACAACCTTATAAAAGAATGGGCTCTTTGCTGCTAAAATAGGAGAGCTGATATGTAACGTTTTAACTCTTATAACTCCAGAACTATCCTCAGATCCATTTGAATCATCGCTATTTGCAGCATCATCTCCTGCACAAGTTTCTTTTTACAGGAATAACTTCTTAATAAAAAAAAAATAGGGATCATACAAACAAATCATAAAACAAGACATCCTCTAGTGAGAAAAAAAATAGAAAAGATATTCAGCTGCATTAGAAGATCCTTCCAATGAGAATAATAATCACGTGGAACTGGAAGTCCTTAAATACATTACATATATATGGAAAAAAGAAAGCTAAAAAAAATAAAATCTAGTGTTCTCCAATTAATACAAATTACTTAACTCTTCCATCAAAAATTATGTTTCTTCTTCCCCAGGTTTAGAGGAAAACATACAAAAGCTGAAACATTTGTGTATCGGGAACAGTTCTGACTTCTCAATTTACAAACATCTATGAAACTTCATATATTGATTTGAATATTGTGTGCCTAGATATTAACCACAAAACATTACTAAATATTTACTCAGTTGAAAGAATGTGACAAGGATTTCTTGATTCTTTAGCTTCCGTTGTGTGGAACCGAGATAAATGGGGAATTACCAAAATTTGAGAGTTTCTTAATACTATTCTTGCACTTAATATTTACAAGCTACTAAAATCATATTCTTCACAGGTTCCCAGGCTGCAATATTGTTTCTCTGTCTAACTGATGACAAGCAGACAATTAGAAAAATACTTACATTGTTGAATAAGTCAAGAGCTAAAAGCTTAATTTCAATAAATTCACAGGTTACATTGTGCAATCCATTCACCCAATTAAATAATAGATACCAAGGGGATTTCCCGATGCAATCCATAAATATGATATAGCCATGGAAAACCGATAATTCTGGATTCCATTAAGTTGCATGTTCCAGGTTATACGCACCCTTCCCTTTTCTGACTGCCACAAAATGCATATTGCGTTTCACTGTTTCCAAATCATTTTTCTATTTTCTAATATCACAGAACCAAATATCCAAAAACAGAAAACATTTCTTATAGTAAATCAAACACAAATTTTCAGAAGGAATTGGACATTTGTCCAGTGTTTCAGTTATTAAAAAAAAAAGGGTTATTGCATGGTCACAAAAATACTTCGAACTGGACAAAATATTTTGAACTGGACAAGTTCATTTAAATCTCTGTTTGTTGAGAAATATATCAACATTTCATAAATGTATTAAAACACACTTTCCAAAACCTTCAGAGTTTTTTGATTCATTTGTCTGACAGCACTCCTTTTGGGCCTTACCGCAATTTATTTTTGTAATATTCTCCTCATCACATGTCATCTTGGAATTTTAATCTCCAATTTTAATATGGAAAGTCAAATTAATCACTGTACAGGCCTTGTTTCCCTTTAAACAATTCAATAACTAATACGATGAACATGAATTAGCTGACTTTAGTCGTAATAATAATGTTGATACATGAATTAACAATGGAAACGAGATTTTTCCCCATACCTAAGGGTAATTCTTCTATCATTGGAATTTCTTCTTCATCATGATTTTCATCACCCACACCATCATCAATATCAGGCTGCTGGCTGTCTAGAATCTGCTCTTCAGGGTGAATGTTGATGTCCAAAGCTGAAAACGAGTGGCACATGTCTGATTAACATCAGATCAACCCATGCCAGCATAAGAATGAGCAGAAGTCGTAGGAAACCCAAAATACAGGCAAGAACGACGCATTCACAGAGTTTGTAAACACCGGTAAAAAAATGATTAATAATTTCAAAATTTAAAAAAACTGAAAAATTGTATGCATTCAGTTACTATCTTCAAAAAATAAATAAAGTTTTGTTTTTAGCATCAAGCATGGGATAAAGGATTTGGAATTGGAAATCGAAATTTCTACTTAAACTTAAATTTATTTCAAACACTACTGTAAACATTGTCTCCCAGCTGTGACTTTGATTGACATGCCCACACAGCAGGCCGGGTAGCTGTAGCTTCCTTACCCGGTTGAAAGCTGTTACAGCGGAGGGACAAAGTGAAGGAATCCGGTTTATGATTCCTTGGATTGCAGCAAAATGCTTTGATTCAAGTCTCACTGCTACTTTCAGAAATTGAGTATATCAGGCCTTTGAATGCATCCAGACTATTTTGAAAACCTAAAGCTTTTAGATAAGATGGTTAACAATTAGAAACCCAAAATTAAGTCAACTCTTGCTAGATTTCTTCAAGACCCACTCCTAAATCAACTCTAAGTCCAAAAGAACCAAGGTTGAGTAAAAAAATAAATAAAATTAAAGCTCTGATACCATAATAGCATAGAAGATTGAGAGAAATTGTGGTTTTATATCCCTTAACAGTAACTTCACTCCATTTCTACATATTTATTTTACCCAGCAGCTTAATGAGCTACACTTACAAGATACTCAAAAATATTCTCATTTTCATATCCTACACAGGCCAAGTACAAATATATGTGCTCAGATTCATCGTAACAACAAAAATTATAATTATAATCAAGAAATAAATATCCAATACACGTTGACTGTACAGTAGACTCGCTCACCATTTTCCTTCTTGGCGATGTCGCCTCTTTGACGCTTGGTCTTGCATGCCCAGTCGGTGACGGTATGGCAAGCCTGGGATTCGGGTCGGGTCTCGAGCGAATCCGATACGATCTCGATCCGGAGGACCCGGTCCGAGAAGTTGCTGTCGTTGAAGGCAAACGCGAAGTCCGGGTTAGGTGAAGCGGTAGGCGACGAATTATCCGAGTCCATCACTGCCGTTCTCGGGTCAAATAGATCCAATACCGAATCCCTCATACTGATTTGTCTCCTATACACACACACACTCTCTCTCTAAAAGTATTTAGATGCTGAAAAAAACTTTAGTACTGTAATATAGATATACGCGAGAGAGAGAGAGAGAGAGAGGAGCGCATCCCTGAGATTATTATTATCGTGTAGTGCGTGCTACTATTATTCGTAAAATTTGGGGTATCTTTAACGATTCTCACAAATAGATAAGGGAAAATTGCAAAATGATATCAAACTTTTCATTTGTGCCACTCACGGTATCAATCTTTCACAAATTTGCAACTAAAATTCAAATGGATGAAAGTAGTTAATTTGACCGTTAATTGATTTCAAAAAATTGACTTTGACTACTTTTAAAAGAGTAAAATGATAAGTTTGTTATAAAATGAGAGGAAAAGAGAATAGAGAAAACTCAATAAATCTTTTGTGTGTATTATTAACAATCAAAGCCCTATATTTATAGGTAAAAATTAGGGATACAATGGTAATAATTTCTAGGGCTACAGGGGTACAAATGTCATTTACCATTAAACCTTAATAGACTTTCCATTTACAACACTCCCCCTTGAATGACATATTACAAAATATCTGCCTCGTTAAAACTTTGTTTTATAAAAATCCAATGAAAAAAATCAAACGAAGAAAAAAGAGTACAGTTATTTGGGAGTATTAAAATTAAATGCTGCCTCATTAAAACCTTGCTAAGAAAACCCAATAGAACAAAACCTAAGCGAAGGAAAAAGAGTACAGCTACTCCCCCTGATGTTGATCACTGAAAATCTATGAGTTCACAGATTCCAATCTCATGAACTAATTTCTTGAATGTAGATGTTAGCAGCGCTTTTGTGAATAGATCAGTCACATTGTCACTTGAGCGAATTTGTTGAATATCAATGTCACCATTCTTCTAAAGTTCATGTGTATGAAAGAATTTTGGAGAAATATGTTTCGTCCTGTCGCCTTTGATATAGCCTCCCTTGAGTTGTGCGATACAAGCTGCATTATCTTCAAACAAAATTGTTGGACTATCTTTTGTTGAAGTCAATCCACATGATGATTGGATATGATGGGTCATATTCCTCAACCATACACATTCTCGCCCTGCTTCATGGATTGCAATAATCTCAGAATGATTTGGGGATGTTGCTGTCAAGGATTGCTTCACAGATTTCCATAATATAGTTGTTCATCCACATGTAAACACATATCCTGTTTGTGATTTAGCTTTATGTTGATCGGAGAGATAACCTGTATCTGCATATCCCACTAAAGCAGATCCTGACTTTTGAGAATAAAACAATCTTATATCAATAGTACCTTTTAGGTAACGAAAAGGGTAATTAGCACAAAACGTCCCTATCTTTCGATATTTTTGTGGAAAACGTCCCTATCTTTCGTTTTTTGGCGGATTACACTCTCACCTTTATCTTTTTTTGTGCAAAACGTCCTTCTATCAACTCTCCGTTAAAACATTCCGTTAAATTAAAAGGTAATTAGCACAAAAGGTCCCTACCTTTCAATATTATTGTGCAAAACGTCCTTACCTTTCATTTTTTGGCATAATTAGCACAAAAGGTCCCTACCTTTCAATGTTATTGTGCAAAACATCCCTACCTTTAATTTGTTTGCATTTTTACCCCTACTTTTCACCTTTCATTGTGAAAAATGTCCTTCTCATCCATTTTTTCAATAAAATGACGATTTTACCCTCCTATTCAAATAAAACAAAAAGAAAAGGTTGAGCCACTAGTCGGACTTTGTATCTTATAATTTCATTATTCTCATTTCTCTTTCGTACAAAAACCCATTTGTATCCAACAGGGATTATATTTTCAGGTGTTCGAACTATTAGTCCAAACACTTTTCGTTTCTCCAAAGAATTCAATTCTGCCTGTATGGCTTCTTTCCATTTTGGCCAATCATTTCTATTTCCACATTCATTAACAGACTGTGGTTCAGGATCCTCATTTTACATAATATCAAGAGCATGTTAAAACCGAAAATATTGTCTATAACAATATTATTCCGTTCCTATAATTTATGAGATATCATATAATTTATTGAGATCTCATTATTTTCGGACACCTTTGGTTCTTCAGAAATCGTACATTCAATATTTGATTGATCAATCTTTTCTAGTGTGATTTCTTCTGAAGTTTTTGGTTGGTTTTTCTCCTGTACTCTTCTTTTTCGAGGTACAAAGTCTTTTGAACCAACTGGTCGACCACGCTTCTGGTGTATTTGAGATTCATTTGCCACAGCAGATTGTCCTGCATGAACATTAATTTTTGCTAGAATATTTTCTGCTGGAATATAGACTTTGTGACTTTTCTCATGTCAACAAATATATCAGGTAGTTGAATTGCAACTCTTTGCAAATGAAGGATTTTTTCAACCTCTTGTTCACATTGATTGCTGTGGGGATCAAAGAGAGATAGAATTATCTCATTCCAAGAAATTCTATCTTGTTTTTCAGGATGTAGTTTTTCTCTTCCCAAAGTTGGGAAAGTCATTTCATCAAAATGACAATTTACAAAACGTGCAGTAAATAAGTCATTCATTAAAGGTTCAAGATATCTAATAATAGATAGTGAATCAAAACTCACATAATCCCAAGTCTTCGTTGGGAACCCATTTTAGTACATTGTGGGGGTGAAATAGGAACTTGGACAGTGCAACCAAAAACCCGTAGGTGAGAAATATCAGGTTCATAACCAAATGCAAGTTGCAAAGGTGAATATTGATGATAGGCAGTTGGTCTTATACGAACCAATGATGCAGCATGTAATATGACATGACCCCAAATAGAAGTTGGGAGTTTTGTTTTCATAAGTAATGGTCTAGCAATAAGTTGTAGACGTTTAATAAACGATTCCACTAAACCTTTTTGTGTATGAACATGTGCAACTGAATGTTCAATTTCAATCCCAATTGACATACAATAATCATCAAATGATTGGGATCTAAATTCACCAGCATTGTCAAGACGAATAATCTTGATTGAGTAATCGGGGAATTGTGCTCGCAATTTTATGATTTGAGCAAGTAGTCTAGCAAATGCTACATTCCTAGTTGAAAGTAGACAAACATGTGACCATCTTGTAGAAAAATCAATTAATACTATAAAGTAACGAAATGGTCCACATGGTGGGTGTATTGGCCCACATATATCTCAATGTATTCTTTTCAAGAAAGTTGAAGATTCAATATTGACCTTTGTAGTTGAAGGTCTAATGAGTAACATGCCTTGCGAACAAACTACACATGGATAATCATTAGATAAAAGAATCTTCTGGTTCTTTAAAGGATGTCCATGTGAGTTGTTTATTATTCGACGCATCATTATGGCTCCTGGATGTCCAAGTCGATCATGCCAAAGTATAAAACTTTTTGAATCAATGAACTTCTGGTTCGTAACATTATTTAATTCGACCATTTTTATAAATGTAAAATACATGCCAGACGGGAGTGCATGAAATTTTTCTTTTATCTGCTTCTTGCCAGATACAAAAGAAGTGATGCAAAGATATTCAACATTATTTTCTTGTATCTTCTCAATGTGATATTCATTGCAGCGAATATCTTTAAAACTAAGAAAATTTCTTCTGGATTTGTTAGAATAAAGTGCAACGTCAATATATAATTTTGTATTATTTGGTAAAATAATACAAGCTCTTCTGGAGCCTTCAACGATATTCGACGCACCCGATATCGTGTTAACATTATTTTCAGCTAATATTAAGTCCAAAAAATATTTTTTGTCTTGAAAAATAGTATGTGTAATTGCACTATCAATTAAATAGCTGTTTTGACCATCCATCATGAATCTATAAATATAACAAAATAAACAAAATTTAAAAAAAAAACTTGAATTTAGATTTAAAGAAGTAAACATTATTTAATATCATGAAATAAACGGTGCATAATAGAGTTTTTTTTGTGTGCAGAAAAGTAAAAACATATTTCAGACTAGTTTTTTGAAAACGAAATAAATACTAGTAAATTAATCTATATCTTCTATCACATCACCCCAACCAAATGGTCAATATTTTCATTTGGATCAGTAAAGAAATCGGAGACATCCAAATGAGTCACATCAATTGGATCATCATAATCAGCAAAATTAGTCTCCGATTTTTCTTTTCCCTTGATTGATCTCTGGTAGAGATCCATAAAATGTTTTGAGGTACGACACGTACGTGCCCAATGCCCTTTCATTCCACATCTGAAGCAACTTTCTTTATGCTCATTTTTAGATTTGCCACTTTCGTTTGCTTTGTGCCTTTTGAATTTATTGTCTTGTTGTTGATAACTTTGTTGATTATTTCTTCCACGATTTATTCCACGTACATGTCCATGTCCGTGTTCACGTCCAAATCCGTGTCCACGTCCACGTCCGCGTCTTGATATTGTATTTGCTTCAGACAATGTGGTACCATTTGCTTCAGGCAATGGTACAGAACCAGTTGGACGTAATCCATGATTTTTCATCAACAATTCATTATTTTGTTCAGCAACTAGTAGGCAAGATATAAGTTTTGAGTACTTTTTGAAGCCACGCTCACGATATTGCTGTTGCAGGAGCACATTCGAGGCATGAAAGGTGGAAAAACTTTTTTCCACCATATCTTCATCGGTGATTTTTTCTCCACACAAAGTCAACTTTGAACATATTCTGAACAATTCAGAATTGAACTCACTAACCGTTTTAAAGTCTTGCAAACAAAGGTGCATCAACTCATAATGGGTTTTGGGGAGGACTATAGTCCTCTGATGATCAAATCTTTCAATTAACTTTTTCCAAAGAACTTGTGGATCTTTCTCAGTGAGATATTCAATTTTTAATCCATCGTGAAGATGGTGACGGAGGAAAATGAGTGCTTTTGCACGATCCTGCAGAGATTCATTGTTTTCTTCTTTTATTATCTCTCCTAGACCCTTTGAGACGAGATGGATATCAACATCCAGTATCCATGACAGATAATTTTTACCAGATATGTCAAGTGCAACAAATTCAAGTTTTCGTAATGTTTGCCATTTGTTTAACTACACAATAAAAAATACAATTAGTTTCGAAGAATATAATTAATCATCACATGTTAATCAAATAGTCAATATCAACAT